CAAGCCTGCCCGCTCCATGACTTTTCACCAAGGATGCTACACATCCAACTTTCTGCCTTTGACCATCTCTCTTAAACTTTGTTTGGAAACTAGCTTAGAAACCTAAGCAAGGTGGGTGGGAGCTAAGCCTGCCTTCATCCTCCTGCTGGTGGAGCTGGTCCTGCCTCCATCCTCTGCCCACTGAATTCCACATGTGGCTTGAAGACTGGAAGGTGGCAGGGGATGGACCGACAGCTGGTCCTTTGAAAACGGACGATGTCAGAAGTAGCCATTCTGAAAGGCGGAGGTGGGTGCACGAGCCGGGCGTGTGTGCAGGACACGGCCTGATGAGCTGATGTCTTGAGGCTGCCCAGCAACTCCCCACGCCTACTGGAAAGCCCTGGCTGTGGCAGCCCGCGACATCGAGGCAAAGGTCTTGTTCCTCACGGGCCCGCAAGAGGCAGCCTCTCCTGCGCTGGGAGAACCTGCCAGAAGCTGAGGTGCCACAGGCGGAGGCAGTGACGTTGCCTGTTAAGGACTAGAGAATCCTGAGGGACAGCACACTCCAGCCTCAGTGCCTCCATTCCCAGCCTTTGGCCACCTAGCTCCCGGACACAAGGCTGCCTGCCCTCTCCACCGTCCATACCGCCTCACCTTTAGGGCCTCTTCCCGGCACCAGCGGGGTGCTCTGCTCTGCTAGGTAATTCTACCATCCATGCGCCATCATCCCCAAGGAGCATGTGCCCCTTCCTCGGGAGTAGCTGCATGTTTTACTCTGCAGGGCAATCTCAGGCTCCCTGCCACCACCCTCTCACAGACTATCTATACAGGTCGGCCTCCATGATGGGCTCCCAGTGTTCTTTTGCCCTAGGACAAAGATGTCCTCTGGTGGCTTCCTGAGAAAGAAGAGCTGGAAGGTGAAAGCTCTGGCCCTTGCATGCCTGGAATGCCCTGTGCCACCTTCCTCTCACCCGGCAGTTTGGCAGGACACAGACTTGTGGAGGGCAATGACGCACCCTTAGAACTGGCATGGCTACAGGCCCTGTGGAGCCCGCAGGTGCCCTGGCTGTCTCTAGCGCCCCTGGCCTCTCACCTCTGTCCCTGCATTTTGAGGCTCTGCTGGTTCCTGCATGAGTGGTCTTTCTACCCCCTGGTGGGTCCCCTTGCAGCCCGCCTTACCTGGGGCCTCTGAACCTACACAGACACCTCCTCCTGGCCTCTGCCTTCCCTGGGACTCCTGCTGTTTGGACCCTGCACAGTGGAGTGAGCTTTGGCCTTCTCTATCATCTCACTTCCCAGTTGCCCAGCGCTGTCATGGTTTTCTCTGGTTTCTGGGAGATGACATCACCATATCTTCCGGTCTGAGGATTTTTCTTTTCTGGGCAGTCATGTGTTTAATTTTTGTCTTCTGAACGTCCTGTGCTTTCCCTTTTCCACTGAACTTGTCCTGGCACGACATGTGGACGCAGCGCCTTCTCTGAGGGTGCTAATGCAGCTAAGAAGCAGCCTCTGCACTGTCTGCCTCAGCCGCCTTCCCTGCATGGCCCCTGCCCAGGTCCCTACCGAGCTGCTCTTCGGGCCCTGGGTCCTCCTTGGTTGTCCTCTTCCTAAGGGGAAGTGCCAACACTTCCTGGGTGGAAGCTCTGGGCACACAGGTGGTGATTAGCCATGAGCACCACATAAGGGATCTCAGGGGCTATTTGTTGAAACCCTGATGTCAGCTTTTGGGGCGGGTCAATCTACAGAGGGCTCTCTGTCTTCTGCTCGAGGGTAAAGGCTGTGCATGCTGGCAGCCCAGTGGGGAGGTGGGGCTGCATCCATGCCTCATCTAGAGCAGCTGTCCTCAGGCCAGGAGCCCTGCTGTGCCCCTTCCAGAGCAGCAGCAGGTGAAGCAGCTGGGTAGGAGGCGGCCCAGAGGCCTTCCACCAGCTCTGGCCCAGGCCCTTGACTGAGTGCCTCCCTGAGTCCATCGTCTCTGCAGTTGCTGACCCTGAGCTGTTGGGGTCTGTGGGTGGCTTGGTGGCCCTTGTCCCGGCGCTAGCTCAGACCCACCCCAGAACTCTGCTCAGCCACACCTGGCCCACCTGCTTCCGACTGCTGTTCACTCCTTCCCACTTTCCCTAAACCTGCTTCTGTCCTTTTAGAAGCCTCCATACCACAGGCAGGAAGGACTCCGGGAAGCAGCATGACTGCCACCCAGGCCAGAGCCCATGCATGTTCTCATGGCTCCCACTGGCTCCATGTGGTCCGCGAATTTGCCTAGTACCTACAGGGCATCCACAGTTGAGAAGGTGCCTCGCAGCAGGTAAAGGTGTGGAGTGCTTAATGAGAGAACACATGAAGGACTAGGCGTGCAGGTCTCTGTGAGGCTGAGTCTGCTGGGCACAGGCCTGGCATGGAGGATACCTCCGTGATGTGTGCCTCACAAACGCAGTCAATGAGCCAGGCAGCCCACCCTCTCTTGCCCCTGCAACTCCCTGCATTCATGGTTCCTAGTTCTCCCTGCCTCCTAGGGTCTCGCCAGGGAAGACATAAAAGGCACAAAAGATGGGGAAGAAAACAGTGGGCAGTGACATCCTGGTTCAGGTGGCTAGGAGGCAGGGAAGGACGTTACCGAGGAACAAAGATAGCCCTGGGAGCCCCTGGCCCGGGTCTGGGTTCTAGGTCCTGGTTCCCTGCCCGGGTCTGGCCCCAGGTCCTGGAAGCCCCCCTGCCCCGGTTTCAGTTCTGTGCCCTGGAAGCTCCGGGCCCTGGTTCTGGGTTCTATATCCTGGAAGCTCCGGGCCCCAGGTCTGGATCTCTGTGTCCTGAAGCCCCTGCCCCGGGTCTGGGCCCTGTGCACTGAAGCCCCCGCCCCGGTCTGGGTTCTGTGCGCCTGGAAGCTCCCGCCCCGGGTCTGGGTTCTATATCCTGAAGCTCCGGGCCCTGGTTCTGGGTTCTATATCCTGAAGCTCCCGCCCTGGTCTGGGTTCTGTGCACTGGAAGCCCTCGGCCCGGTCTGGGTTCTGTGTCTCAGAGTCCCTATCCCCGGTCTGGGTTCTGTGTCTCCTGGGGAGTCCCCATCCCCGGGTCTGGGTTCTGTGGCCCTGGAAGCCCCTGCCCCGGGTCTGGCTCTGTGCGCCAGCCCCGCCCCGGTCTGGGTTCTGTGCACGGAAGCCCCCGGCCCCGGGTCTGCCCTATATCCTGGAAGCTCCGGCCCTGGTTCTGGGTTCTATATCCTGGAAGCCTGCCCGGGTCTGGGTTCTATGTCCGGGGAGTCCCTGTATCCCCGGGTCTGGGTTCTGTGTCCTGGAAGCCCTCGGCCCCGGTCTGGGTTCTGTGTCCTGGAAGCCCCTGCCCCTGGTCTGGGTTCTGTGCGCTTGAAGCCCCCCGCCCCTGGTCTGGGTTCTGTGCGCTGAAGCCCTGCCCGGTCTGCTCCAGGTCCTGGAGCCCTCGCCCCGGGTCTGGGTTCTGTGACTGTGCCCCGCCCGGGTCTGGGCCCTGTGTCCTGGAAGCCCTGCCCGGGTCTGCCCCAGGTCCTGGGGGAGTCCCCATCCCCCGGGTCTGGGTTCTGTGTCCTGGAAGCCCCCGCCCCGGGTCTGGGTTCTGTGTCCTGAAGCCTCGCCCTGGTCTGGGTTCTGTGCGCTGGAAGCTCCCGCCCCGGTCTGGGTCTCAGGCGCTGGAAGCCCCGGCTGTCTGCCCTGTGCCCTGGAAGCTCCGGGCCCTGGTTCTGGGTTCTATCCTGGAAGCCTGGCCCCGGGTCTGGGTTCTGTGGGCAGCTGAAGCCCTGCCCGGGTCTGGTTCTGTGCGCTGGAAGCCCCCGGCCCGGGTCTGGGTTCTGTGCCCTGGAAGCTCCGGGCCCTGGTTCTGGGTTCTATATCCTGGAAGCTCCGGGCCCTGGTTCTGGGTTCTATATCCTGGAAGCTCCGGGCCCCAGGTCTGGGTTCTGTGCGCTGAGCTCTGCCCGGGTCTGGGTTCTGTGGGGCAAGTAGCCTCGCCCGGTCTGGGTCTGTGCGCCTGGGAAGCCCTGCCCCGGTCTGGGTTCTGTGCGCCTGGGAACTCTGGGAGCCCCCCCGCCCCTGGTCTGGGTTCTGTGCGCTGGGAACTCTGGGAGCCCCCCGCCCCCGGTCTGGGTTCTGTGCGCTGGGAACTCTGGGAGCCCCGGCCCCGGTCTGGGTTCTGTGCGCTGGGAACTCTGGGAGCTCTGCCCGGGTCTGGGTTCTGTGCGCTGGAAGCCCTGGCCCCGGTCTGGGTTCTGTGCGCTGGGAACTCTGGAGCCCCCTGCCCGGGTCTGCCCTGTGCGCTGAAGCCCCCTGCCCGGGTCTGGGTTCTGCGCGCTGAAGCCCCCGCCCGGTCTGGGTTCTGTGCGCTGGGAATCAAGCCCCGCCCGGTCTGGGTTCTGTGCGCTGGAAGCTCCCGCCCGGTCTGGGTTCTGTGCGCTGGAAGCCCCCGGCCCCGGGTCTGGGTTCTGTGCGCTGGGAACTCTGGGAGCCCCATGGAGCTGGCTGGGAGTTCACCTGCCTCTGCTGAAGATCCCTGTAGAAAGCCTCTCACCAGTTTCCCCGGCAGAGGATGCCCATTAGAAAGTTCTCTCCATGAGGCCAAAATTCCCTCCACCACACTTGCAGGTGCTTTCAGCCAGAGCTAAGACACCAGCAGCCTTTCACCCCTAAGTGGTGGACACTCCCTGCGTCTCCTCTTGGTCTTGCCCTGATGGGCCTTAAAGTGGAGTACAGGGCAGGGCAGGCAGCGCGCTGGGAGTGTTCCTAATAAGCCTCTCGAACCGAAACCCTGGGATTCAAGATGCTTCTAAACCAGCGGCTCTCAGCCCAGTTTTTACACAAACACACCTGCTACCTGGCACATTCATCAACAACTAGTGGCTTGTGAACAGACGGTGAAAGGTTCCCTTCCAGGCCCTTTACCTTATAACCTGGCAGGCGACACCCACAGGCACCCCAGACACAAGGGGCTGAGAGCTGGAAACACAACCTCGGGGGACTTCAAACCCAATATGGGAGGAAAGGAAGGTCCTGAAATACCTAGAAGTTTCTTACTGTCCAGTTTCTGCCGGTTGAGGGGGTTTGTGCCGTACAGGAGGGTGTGGGCTTCTGAGTGCACCGTCTGCAGCTCCTCCAGGGTGGCCTTGCGTCCGCGGATGCACTGTGGGGACAGGCGAGAGGACATTCATATGTTCTGCAGAAGCTGCTGCTTCAGCTCCACAGACAGAAACTCCAACTGAAACCACTGCCCACAAGGAAACTTAATTTGATACACAAACAAGCACGTTATTTGGTTATTGCAAAATAAGAAGCAACATCACCCAACATGATATTTTAAAATATTTAAGAAATATTTTAGAGGGCTTACACTTAATTATAGCTTTGAAAAAACATTTTAAAAGATAATTCCAGCCTTCAACGCATTACCCTTCACTGTCGCACAAATGACTTGGCATCAAATTATTACTTTGCTTTCCAACTGCCAGGGTCTGGTCTTAAAATAGAGGTGAGCTGCCGCGCTTCCCTCACGTTCTAGGAAAACCCCAGTCATGCTCCCGGAGTCTCTGAGCCTTCCTTGGACCGCCTGGGGCCACAGCCGCCAGTCTGGCATCTGCCCTGCATGGCTAGCTGGCGTCCGGCTGCGTCTCTATGTGGTTTGGAAATTCCTCAGATCGAGATCCCTGGGCTAATTCAGATTTTCTTCAGAAAGTCACAGGAAAATGAGAGTTCTTCAGCTGAGCTACATTCATTTAACCTTTTAAAGGGGACGATGGCTTCGGACATGAGATTCGAGTTAACATTTCACATGGAAACGGCTCTCAGAGGGTCAGGCCACCACAGGATGAGTCAGATGCCACACAGGTGGCCCTGGTTGTGGCCGTCACCTGCTTCCCCCAGGCCGGAGCAGGATCTGCTCTCTCCCTCCTGACCACAGCCCTGCCCCGGCATCCACTGAGCTCCTACAGGCCTCGCTGTCCACCCTGTGCGTGAGACGTGTGACGGGCGAAGCTCGGGGGCTCTCTACGCCAGCCCAGCACCTAGGGCTCCTCTCAGACCACCAGGAGCCATGGCACACAGCCTTCTTGCAGGACGCAGTACACCTGGGGGTCCTGTCCATGCAGGGCGGAGAAGGAAGGGGTGGAGCCAGGAGAGCTCAGCCCCTGCCCACAGGGGAGGGACCTCCAGAGGGCAGGTGCCCTGGGCAGGGGAGGCTGGTCTGCAGGTTCGCTCTTCATGAACAACAATTCCACAAAACCGGGCTTTCTCTATGAAGGTCCCTGGTTTAACAAAGACAACATGTGACACGGCTTCCAATGGTAAAACACGACTCTACGGTCCCACCACGACCTAGGGCTGCTTCTACTCTGGGGACATAAGCTGAACGTCCCTGGAAGGCCAGGGAGGAGGGACGCACTCCCTGGTAGAGGTCAGGGTGCAGTTGGGGCCCCGGGCAGCTGCGGGGGCTTCTAACTTATTTTATTTTATTTTTTTTTGAGACAGAGTTCGCTCTTGTCACCCAGGCTGGAGTGCAGTGGTGCAATCTTGACTCACTACAACCTCCATCTCCCGGGTTCAAGCGATTCTCCTGCCTCAGCCTCCTGAGTAGATGGGATTACAGGTGTCCGCCACCACGCCTGGCTAATTTTTGTATTTTCAGCAGACATGGAGTTTCACCATGTTGACCAGGCTGGTCTTGAACTCCTGACCTCAGGTGATCTGCCCGCCATGGCCTCCCAAAGTGCTGGTGTTATAGGAGTGAGCCACCACGCTCCTGCTGGGGCTTCTCATTTCTAATGATTTCCGGAAGCCCCCATGTGTGCACAGGCATAGGCAGCTGTGGCCAGGGCCAAGTTCCCTCTGGACAGACAGGCCTGGGCAGCCCACACTTGGGAAGGCCCCTGTAGGGGACCAGGGTTGTGCCCTGTGGTGCTAAGAGGCAGGTCATGCAGTGTGAACTTCTGGTGAAACAACAGCAGGGCCCTGGCAGCCATGTGTGTCCTCCTCACTCAAAAGCGACCCACTGGATAAGAGCCTGAATTGCAGCAAGAGAGACTTGATGTTAGACCACAAATTAAATTCACAGATTAAAGCTGATCTTAGAATAAGGCAAAGAAGAAAAGTAGAAGAGCCCCCTGCCTACAAACACATGAAATGGAGACAGAAAAGACACAGGATCAAAGCCCCAAAAGCTCTGCGACACCGCGGCGGTTCAGGCTGCAGGCCCACGACATTGAGATGGCTCAGCCTGTGTGACAGCACTTGAGAAGGCTTTTCCAGAGCCACTCTCGGAGCGGTGGTGATGGTGGCCCCTTCCCACTTTCTTGGGAGGCCGACCTCGTCATTTCCATCTCCCTTTAATTCCTGGGATAAGACAGGAGGAGTCTTTGTTCCTTACAGAAAACAGGCTTGGGGCAGGGTGCAAACCCCAGTTGTGACCCTGGTCTCTGTGACATCTGACTTCCAGCCCACCCCCTTCTCCTCTCCTTCCCGGACGCCATGCCTGGAGGCAGGACAAACCAAGCTGGGCACGCGAATTGGCCAGGAGCTGCTCTGGCTCCCAGGAAGCCTCTGCAGGAGGGCGGGGCCCGCACACACATGTGGCTGTACTCAGAGGACCCCCCGACTGCTCAGAATGTGTGAGGCAGCTTCCCGAGGCCTGCCCGGCTGCTCTGGAGTGAGGCAGGGAGCGAGACAGCTGGACCGGGGGCCACGTCTTGCTGGGCCGGCCTGCCAGCATCTACACGGTCCCAAGTTCACAGAGACCTCCCAGCCTACTCCCATCCCTCCTCGCCACACGAAGCAGCGTGACGGGAGGGCCTCACTCCCCAGGCCTCCAGGCAGTCATCTCCCCACAGGAGGGATGCTGACCGTGAGGCCCTGCCCTGCGAGGCCCTGCCCTCCGGCCTGGGCTTCAGTCTTGCTGTGGCCTCCACGTGGTCTGTGGACTGGGGAAGTCACAGCCCCATCCACCCCATCTTCTTCTATCAGGTACCCACTTAGCGAACCAGGCCCCATACCCATGGGCCCTCTGCTCAGCCATCTCAGGAGGCCAGTGACCCCGGCTGGCTGGCACTGAAAGCCTGGTGGGTGACGTCACGTCCCCCTAAGCTGAGTTAGCACATCGCTCGCTCTGAACCTGGGGAGCACCTGCACTGGAGAGCTGCCCCACGTGTGGGAACAAGGCACCACCGTCCAGGGAGCACGGCCTCCACGGCCTCTGTGGCTGTCCCCCAGTCACCCTTCTTCCCCCAGCTCTCCTCTCCCTGAGATCCTGCCAGGCTCAGGTCTTGTCCCACAGCCCCAACACCTGGGGACCCTCTGCCAGCCCTTGGCCCAGTTGTGGCTGGCACCTTCACCCATGGTGCCGAGGGCAGGCAGAGGAGCCGAGGGCGGGCAGAGGAGCCGAGGGTGGGTGGAGGAGTGGGCTGTTTCTTCCAAGGTCTTTGCTTTCTCACTCCTCCCTTGCTTGCATTTGCTTTGCTATTCTGGCCGAGAGACCCTCTCCCAATCCTCTGGCCTCAGGGGACCCCCCCTGAAGGTGGGGGCACACATAGGGGAGGGACAGGGAAGCAGATCATGGAGCTTCGGAAGCCTCAGGAGGCCTTGGGCAGTCCCCGGAAGGGGCAGCAGGACAACTGTCTGCTCCTGTGGAGGGAACGGACGTGGGGAAGGAGGAGTTTCCCGAAGCCAGTGTCCGCTGGGCAATGCTGCCCTCCAGTGGCACAGCCATCCCGACTGGATCCCTGAAGCAGCTGCCAAGAGCCTCTACAGTGGCTCCTCCCCGCCTCCCTCCTCCCAGAGGGCACTGCAGGAGAGGGTCCTGGGCCTGACTTTTGGAGAATTCCCCCGAGAATTATGTATCACCAATAAAACTGGTAAAGGAAATGGGGGTAAGATGAAGCACAGATTGGCTTAAGTTCCCAAATATCCCAGCTTCTAAAGGAGGGGCAGGCGAACCTGCAGAGCGGAATCCTGCAGAAACTAAGCCAGGAGACTGGAGGCTCTCCGTGCCCACGTAGAAAGGCCACGCCACGCCAGCTCCATGTGCTCACTCATCTCTGCCACAGCCACTTGGGCCCTGGGCTGTTGGGTGCCCAGGGCTGTTGGAGGGGTGGGTATGGAGGTTCCTGTCCACCCTGTGAGCTACTGTAGGGTGGTGGGAATCCTGGTGTGGGGAGGGGACACAGCAGGTCCCTACTGGTGGGTCCTGGCATGGGTGGCGCCTTGTGTGATCCTGCACAGTGTTGCCAGCCCCTCTCTACAGACAAAGAAATGGAAACTTGTCCAAGGTCGCCAGTTCCCAGACGGGAGTCCCTTCTCTTCCTGCCTGCACTATCAGCAGGGCCTGGCCACACCCTCCTCCCCATCGAAGAGCTCAAGATCCCCTGTGACAGCTGCCTCCAGGGTAAAGCCCACCAGCTGGGACAGCCTCACTGTCCCGTCCTCCAGCGTTAACTGGCTGATCCTTCCCACCTCCTTGGGCGTGGGATCCACTGCAGCCAGGTTCGGGCCAGGGCTCTGGTTCCTATCAGGAGGTGGGGCTAGGCCCTGCTTGTATGAGAACAAGTGAGGCCGCTGCCAACCCCTGGTGGCCAGGGAAACTGAGGCCCAGCCAGAGCTGCAGCGTCCCTGAAGCCTCCTCATGTGACTCAGCCGTGTAAGGGAGCTAAATTCAAACCAGGCCAGGGCCCAGCCTGCAGCTCCATTCCCTTCACGACCCACTGCCTCGCCAGCACCTTAACTCTGAGGAGGGCCCCAAGGGCCTGAGGTCTCCCTATGTTCTCAAAGAAGCTTTCAAAATCTTAATAAAAGAGAAAATTATTTTAACAAAAAGCCAACAGGCCTGATCTGAGATACAATCGGATCTCCCCGTGGCTCCTTCCTGGCTGCCCAAGGGGAGCGTGGTGGGAACTGGCTTCCTCGGGGAAGTGACCCGGAGGCAGGGAGCGGCAGCCCTGGACCTCGGGAGGAGCCTGCTAGGTGAGAGGTGGGAGTGAAACGTCAGAAAAGGGCACAGACAGAGGCAGCAGCTTCCTGCCCGGGACTCCACGGAGACAGCTCCAGGCTTCTCAGCAGATGGCTGCTCGCCCAAGAGGCAGACAGTGAAGATGCTCATGGCCCTTCCCCTGGGTCTGTAAAGCCCAAAGAACCACCTGCAAAGCCAATGCCCTGAATCAAGCAGGCCCATGAGGGTCCCCTCTAGTGGTTTCCAAAGCCGCAGCTGCCCAGCAGCCCCGGCCGGCGTTACCTCGCATTTGCCCCGGAGGCCTGTCTCCTGCAGGCGGGACCAGATGCTCTGGATCCTCCCGGCGTGCTCGGGGTGGCTGCTGCTGCTCCCGCAGGTGCACTGGTGCTTCAGCATCAGCGTGTCATACACGAGGCCTGGGGCGGGGCAGAGGGGCCAAGATCAGCGCACATCCAGGGGCAAGCCAGCCACCACTAGCAGGCTGCCCCGGGCGGTGGCAGGACCACACTTCCCTAGAAGGAGACGGAGGCTGGGATGGTCCTTTAGAAAAATACCATGTTCGCCAAGACCCCTCGACTGGCCAGGCCCAGAGGACGTGGACGAATGCAGAGGCCAGGCAGGTGGGAAGGCCTGCCTGTCACTCATGCTCACAGTAGTGCCCCAGGACCCGGGCAGGGACGCACGCAGCTGCCCTGCTGCAGCAGGTTGAGGAGAGAACAGTGACGAGAAGGCCTTCCCTGGGTGGCTGCACCTTGCAGGGGTGAGCTCCATGTGGGAATCGTGCTGGGGAGGATGGTGCTGACTTCTAGAAGGAGACGACTCTAGCCCCCTACCCTCAAAGTCTGCCTGGTTCTGGACCAACCTCTAACTCCAATTCTGCTGGGCAGAGAACTGTCCAAGGTACTTGAGATTCCAAAGAAACACCAGATTCAGGCCCTGCTTTTAGAAACTTCCAAAGCGACTGGAACACGTGTGCTAGAAAACACACGCAAAACCTGTGTACACAGGTCTACTTAACCTCTGACTGTGAACAGAGGCCAGCCATGTGCTCACCACAGCACTGAGCTCAGCACGGACGGGCCCCCAGGGTGCAGCAGCCACAGAAGAGGCTCCTGGCGGGAGCCCCAGAACCAAGTGGGCCGGCAGCCTGGGGCTCTGCAGTAGGAAAGGCAATGTGCCTGAACCTGTGGTGGATGCCACCCTGTCTCAGTACACATGGGGCTGCTGTGAAGGGGAGAGTACCTGACCTGTCTGCAGACGCTAGAAATGGGAGGGAAGGCCAGGTGGCCCTCCGGGGCACAGCTCTGCCACGGCCCCTTTTCACAAGGCCTAGTGACATCTGGCAGGAGGGCTGCCCCGAGGCCCTGCTGGGACATGTCTGTGCCTCACACACCTAGTCTTCCAGGACTTAACAAAGGGAAGGCCAGGCTGGGTGAATGGATGCCTTCAGCAGGCAGGTCACTACCCAGGGACACCTATGCTAACGTGGGTTCACCCAGGTGGATAAGGGCGGGGCACATGGTGAAGAGCCTGAGCAAGCTGCCCAGACGGATCCGCTCTAGTGTTTCAGTGTGCTGGCCCAGGATGCGGTCCTTCCCACATATGTTCCCATTACTGGGACCAGAGGCAGCATCCCTAGCCAAGGGGAGCTGAGATTCAAGGTGGTCCAGTGTTTGCAGGGTCCAGCTACAGGATACTCTTGGTGCATATTAGCCCATACTTCCTGGCTCAGCCTCTTGTGAGTCAGACTAACAGGAGTCAGTCTCCTGCACTTGAGGAATTCTGGGGGTACTTGCAAAACAGTGCTGGGGGACAGGACTTCTGGTTAAAAAAAAAAAAAAAAGCAACAGGGTAGGTGCAGGCTTACAGGAGTCAGCGAATCTAGGACTCACAATCAGTACACCGTGTGTGGGCATGGGTGTGCTCGGGAGTTTGTAATGGCAACATAGACACATAGGCAATGACGGACACGGAGCCATGAAATACACAGGTGTGTGTGCAGAAACAACCAGTTGCTCATGGATACGAGGAATGGGGACGGCCCCTTCAGTGGAATCATCATGATAAGGTCACATGTGCTAATATTTACTAAGCACACGGCTGGAACCTATGAGGCAGACACCCGCTTTACTGCCTTTACAGACAGAAAAGCTGGAGCGCAGAGAGATGGAGAAGCAGCAAAACCCACACAGCTGAGGGTGGCAGAGCCAGCCAGGAGACCACGTGGCTAAAGGAACGTGCTGCGTCGCTGTGCACGGACACAGAAAGATGGCTGAGAGTGTGAGGTACTAACAGAAAGCATCAGACACAACAGAGTCCCGTCTCTGTGAAACAAATTATGTTTGTGTCTATCTGTCCATCTGGCTATGCACAGAAATAGATCTGGAAGATTTAAACCAAATACTAACAAGCTGCCACCACTGGGGAGTGGGATTACGGGCAAATGGTATTGCCTGTGGGTTTCTATCATGTTTGTTTCTTTACAATGAACACGTACTGTTTTATAAATTTGTTTAAAAAGTAATAAAGACAAACTAAGAAAGGACAACGACGAAGTGGGACTCTCTGGAATTCTCCTGGGACCAGTCATGATGGGCCAGCTTAGTGGGTGAATTCTCGCCTTGGTGGCGGTGACTGGGGTCCCTCTTGTCTGAGCTGCATTCTTTCAAGAACACACTTATTGCAGTCACCTGCCGAGGACTTGTGGAGTGGGCCATCTGGCTGCTTCTGTGACCTTCCACAGTTTTCTTTCTGCTTTTTCTTTCTGAGAAGCAGCGTTTTACTTGCTGGATTACTACTATGGAAATTTTTCTCTGAATATGAACAGCATCGCTCTAAGACCTGAGAGTGAGAACTTTGCAGACTGCAGCACACTAAGCCATGTGATGAGAATTATCTGAAGAATGAAGCCATGCTGTATTTACAGAACTTTTTTCTTAGTGCGTCATTAACAAGAAATACTAGATCAGAACAATATGAAGAGCTCTCCTGCCTCCGTGCTTGTCTCAGAGGCAAGCCCTGCCAGAAGCCAGCCCTCACTCCCGCCTCTCCCCTGCAGGGGTGGCTGGGCGGCGGGGTGGCCCAGGACAGTCTCCTCCCTGGCTCCGGGCAGCTCCAGGCAGACGAGTCCAGGGCCCAGCCCCGCCTGCCTCCTCAGCCGTGGTGGTCACCTCGCTTGCTTCCTGACTTCTGGTGAGGTACCGTGCAGGGAAAACCAAGGACCCCTGCTGGCAGGTCGCCTCCCTGGGGTGAGGATGGTATGAGGGATGCCACAGACAGAAGATGTGTGGCTCCCGCAGCATGTCCCAGGGGTCCCGGGCTCTGCTCTCGTGTAATCATGGCCCCCCACCAGCCATTCACAGTCCTGCCACTGGAGCCTCAGAGTCAACGTTGTGGACGTGGGCGAAGTGTGAGGGAGTAAGTGGAGAAGTGTGGGCTCGTGATTCCTAAGCCAGACCAGAAGCTGTAGGCTCTCATGGCCCCACAGGCATGGGCTGTGGACTGTTCTTGGAGGAGACCAGGGGTCTCTGGGACAGGAAAGGTGGGCAAGTGAGCCCATGACAGGCCCCCAGAATAACAGAACTGAGGGTGTGGGGTGTGGGGCGGGGAGAGGGCCTCCATGAGAGGCCTGTGTGGTTCTTGCCCTCGTGCCCGCCCAGCCCCTCAGCCTCTGCAGAGCTGGGCCCGGAGCACCCCCCGCCCCGGTCTGTGCCCACTGTGGCCCGCGTCACATCCTCAGGCTGCACAAAGGCCATCTGTTACCTGTCGTGAACCTCGGCTTGGTGGGGGGCTCCTGCACAGACACGGGAAAGGTGGCAGATGCTGGTGAGGACTGCGCCCGGGACAGAGGCCTGTGGCTGCCGAACGACACGGGGATGCCGGCAGCCTCCATGGACGCCTGGTAGTTCCTCAGCTGGTGGATCCGCTGCTGCTCCAGCAGGAGGGCTTGCTGTGGGGAAGAAACGGCCATGGTGGCGGCTGCAGGCATCTCCCACCGCGGGCTGCAGGGCTGGCGCTGCCCTCTCTTGCAAGCCTCCCGTCCATGCACAGGCCACACACGGGCCACAGGACGCTGGGAGGCCAGCTGCCTGGAGAGGCCTTCCCTGTGAGTGCCCTGAAGCCCGAGTGGGCCCAGAGCCGAGAATGAGGCCAGCACGGGCTCTGTCTCCCAGGATGTGGCTCTCTCTAGGGAAGGCAGGTTGTCCACATGGGATCCTGCCATGGGCTTCATCAACAGGATAACACAGGCTGAGTCACGGGGTCCCAGGGAGGCCTGGCCAGTATGGGGTATCAAGGAGGGCTTCTGTGAGGAGGTACTGAGCCAGGAGCAGCCTGGACCAGGTGCAGGGAAGTGGGGCCTGGCAGGTATGGAGAGAGGCTCTTGCTGGGGCGGCAGCCTGACCCTCGCTGGTTTCACTGGGAGATACGCGAAGGCCATGCAGGTGTGGGAACCAGAGCACTCACTCTGCCACACCACACACGTACAGTGAGTGGGCAGGAAGCCTCGCCCCCTTGTTGGGTTTGTGGGTCTTAGTTTTGACCGACAGCACTGAATCTGCACACCAAACTTGGGCGAGAAAGCACCCTTGATTCTCAGACTTGGAAGTGCTAGCTCAGCTTCATTTGCAGCTGCTCCCCACCCTGGTCTCACATTCCACACATCCTCATGCAGGCTAAAAGCAGAAACAGCCCATCAGCTTCCAGGCACCCAGGACCCTTGGAGCCTGGAGCAGGCCTGCTGGTGGGGATGTGCCTCTCTGATGAGATGGGGCTGGGCTGGGCTCTGTGTAGGGGGCCACTCACGCAGGGGCCTGGGACACCCCAAGGGATTCTGGGAACAGGCTGAGGTGCACACCCTCATATGAGGCAGAGTGGAGTGGAGGAAGCAGGGCAGAGATGAGGCCACCACTGCCCAGCCTCTCCCCAGACAGCAGCTGAGGGAGAGCACAGTGACCTGCCACCCAGGCCGAGGCACAAAGAAAGCCGGGCGCCTCCTCGCTGGGAGCTCTGCGCCAATCCTGTCTTAGTTTTGATGAACAAATCCTGTGAACGTGGAAAATCAGGTACCTACATCTCAGCTCCTGTATGAGAGGCGGAGTCCAGCCCTGTGCTGCCAGCACTGGGGGAAGCCAGAGCTGCCTGGCCAGGCTCTGATCTGTCCTGTCTTTAGGAATCAGGCTGGGTGGCTCACGCCTGTAATCCCAGCATTTTGGGAGGCCGAGGTGGGTGGATCACCTGAGGTAAGGAGTTTGAGACCAGCCTGGCCAAAATGGTGAAACCTTGTCTTTACCAAAAAAAAAAAAAAAAAAACTTAGCCAGGCACGATGGTAGGTGCCTGTAGTCCCAGCTACTCGGGAGGCTGAGGGGGAAGAATCACTTGAACCCAGAAGGTGGAGGCTGCAGTGAGCCAAGATGGCACCACTGCACTCTAGCCTGGGCAACAGAGTGAGACTACGTCTCAAAAAAAGAAAAAAAAAAAGGAATCAGAGCCAGGAGGGAGCAGAGAAGAGGGGAGCCCCGAGACAGGCGGAGGAGCTGGAGCAGGAGCTGGAGCAGGAGCTGGAGTAGGAGCCAGCACCCACAGGCCCCCAGTCTGCGGCTAACCAAATTCAGCTGGGATTGCCGTGGGCCCCACGCGGTTAAGCGGTTAATAAGCAATCCTCCCGGACACCGGCTGGAAGGTGCCCCGCCTTAGGTTTACCTCGGCAAATTGCTCCGTGTACTACCAAGTTTCCCTGATAAGGAGTTCTGCCTATTACTCTCCAGAGAGAACAGAAATTAAGTGTTTCTAATCATCGTCTCATACTTGGAATATAACAAGCCTCTTTTTTCAAAGTAAACGCCGACCTATGAGAAACTAGTCCTAAAAATTATTAATGTAAATAGTTTCCCACTTCTTATCCGCATAATAATAGCACACTGAATTTCAGACCTCCATCGACTTTCAAGGCCTGACCACAGGAAGAGGCCCCCAATCCGGACCTGTCAGACGGGACCTGTGGACGAGTGTTCACCACGAAGCACCGTGTGTGCGCCAGACAGGCCCGGGGCTTTCTCTCTCTGTCTTTGCCAGGCTGCTGGGCTATGTAGTGTTTAGTGCCCGGGGTGCTAATTAAGACAGCCCAGAAATTAGAGAGAGGCCGCCCTCGGAACAAAAAGGAGAAATAGCACCCAATGCCAGCCGCCGGGGGAAGCTCGGTAGAGGAGGGCTCCTGGCCCAGAAGCCTCTGGAGACCACTGAGACCTGATCCCCGTGCGGCAGGCTTGGGCCCACGTGCTCCAGGTACAAGGCCCCACACTGATTCATTCGGTGCCAAGATCTGCAGCTGAGAATTAAAGGGAACAGTTTACTGCAGGGCGTCCTGCTCCTGGCTTCCAGGGTGCTGCTGGGGGTGGAGATGCAGCTCTGGCCACACAGCTGGCAGTCAGGAAGCTGGGGAGGTGCTCAGTGGCACGGCCAGCATGGAGTCCAGAGAGACGGGAGGGAACGATCCAGTGGCTCCTGCAGCCGAGGCAGCAGCTCTGCTGCTGGAGGATAGAATCAAATCCTACAGCTGTGGTTCCTCAGGCTCGCTTCCTGCCTATAGGGAGGAAGCCACCTTTCTGAGGACACTCTGGCTGCAGATACGGGGCTCCAGCTGGCTGCCCAAATGCCTCAGGTATTTCTGTTGACTCAGAAGTTTTATGTTTCACTGGAAATGAACCAATCATTCACTGGCCTTCTTCATCAGGCTCTTGCGCATTTGGTTCTGGGTACTTTACTGGCTCTAGGTACCACCATCGTACCCGTCTTGTCTGGATCTGCAGGGCTGCTCATTAGCACCACTGGGCCACAAAAGGTCTTGACTTTTGATCAGACCCTGCCTGTCTTTTTGATCAATTAATACCTCTATTTCCTTCACTTCTTTAAAAAGCATGCTGTATGTCACTAACACGTGGATTCTGTGATCATTTACAGCCTACAAACAGGAAGGAAACCCATTCTCTGGGGCCTGTGCATGGCTGGAAAGCAGTTACGTAACCACCTGCAAACATCTCGAATCCCTAGGAACAGCTGGGACAAAACAGAAGCCACATCAACCTCCCTTACTGGCCAGGACAAGACGGGTGAGACACTGGACAGCGACAGTGCAAGGATGCCCTGCAGCTCCCGTGATCACCACACAGAAGATGCCGCCCGGGGACCGAGGGTGGCTGTGCGTGCCAGCCTGCTGGTGCCCTCCCTGCCTGCAGTCACCTGTCTGAAGAGCAGCTCCTGCTCACTGGGCTGGCGCTGGCCCGGCTCCACCTCCCGTGGGGGCTCTGCCTCTTCATCATCGCTCTCAATGGGCTCCTGCTTCACCTGCACGCCAGCCGGTGCGTGCGCCTCCTTCTGCGCCGGCCGGTCCAGGTAGGGCTCGTCCAGCAGAGCCTGGTGCTCACGGAGCTCCTCCTCTGTCTCCTCTGGGTGACTCTCCGGCTGCCGGGCTGGCTCGCTTGGTTTCGGGATGATCTGTAAGGCAGAGGAAATACATGAAGCACAGAGAGCCGGGGCCTCTGAGCTCATCAGACAGGATGAAGGATGCTGCAAACCACCTCCCTCTGGGGCAGACAATCAGGCACTCAAGGCACCTTATCGCCCTGCCACAGGCCAGCAGGCGCCTTCATCTTCCCACACAACTTGGGAGCTATCCACGGTGCTGAGAAAATAATGCCCATCAGGACCCCAGCCCGGGGTCAAGGTGACCTGGCCCAGGGAAGGAGGCTGACTAACATTTAGGGTTTACCAAGCATCTCCTCTGCGTCAGGCACCGAGAAACAGAAAAGAAGCCGCAAGTGTCAACCGAGTCTGCAGAGGGGAGCTTGAGTGTGAAGGGGAGAGGCCAATGCTGACCTCACAGCCACAACTGCTGAGAGAAACCACCACCCACTCAGCGAAAGACATCCACGTCCACAATGCTCACTGCCCGAGCCCACTGACATGCCACGGCCTCCCCTCCTGCAGGATCCCACCGATGTGCCATGACCTCCCTCCTGCCAGATCCTGGAAACACTCCAGGACCTCCCTTCCTGCTGAATCCTAGGGATTCCCTCCTGGAATACCATGGACTCTCCGTGACCTCCCTTCTTATGGGATCCCATTGATGTGCCATGACCTCTTCTCCTGCTGAATCCCAGGGATGCCACGGCCTCCCTCCTGGGATACCATGGACGCTCTGTGACCTCCCTTCCTGTGGGATCCCACTGACATGCCATGAGCTCCCCTCCTGCTGAATCCCAGGGATGCCATGGCCTCCCCTTCTGCAGGATCTCGGGGACACCATGGCCTCCCTTCTTGCAGGATTCCACGGGTCCTGCACGACCTGCCCTGCTATGGGGCCCCAAGAACCATGGCATCCTCTCTCCTGTGGGACTCCCTAGATGCTCCCTGACCTCTTTTCCTGTCAGACCTCACAGGCCAGCACAGCAGGCCCAATGCCGAACGCAGAGAGCTTCTTCCAAGCCTCTCCCTTCTCTAGGACCCACTCTTGGCTATTGGAACCTCTCTCTGGCCAGCTGTCCAGTCACACCCCAAACTCCCACTTCCGTCTGCCAAGCACTGCCCGCGCATTGCTCATGAGAAACGCCTCTGGATGGTGCTGCTTCTCTCCAGCCTCGACCTCCTGCCTTTCCTGCTTTGGTCCCACCTGGCCTCTCCTGCCTGGATGGCAGCATGGCCCCCGGGAAGCCCCCACCTCCAGCATCAACTCTCTGCAATCTTCTTCATGTAGCAGTGAGGGTGCGCTTTCACACGGGCCAGTGGACCTGGTCACTCCCCTGCTGAACGTCCCCCAAGTGCTCTTCCGCCATCCTGCCTCTGCTGCAGAGCCCTTCCACCAATTGACCATGTTGCCCCTGCAGCCTCCCTCTCTCTCTCCCTGCCACCCTGCTCCCCACCACACTGCGGCTCTGCGTCCCTTGTGCCACACTCGCCTCCAGCCCACTGCCTCCCTTCCTCCTTGGCCTCCGGCCACTGAGAGGCTCTGTGGGCCTCCTGTGCATGCTACCTTTTCCAGGAAGGGTCAGCTGATCTTCCTGATAGTGCAATGTGCCCTCCTCCAGCCCCCCACAGTCCTCTGGCTTTCCTGTGGTTGCCATTCATGTATCCATCTTTCCTGCAGTCTGCAGTTCCCAGGAGGGTAGGGACCACTTCTGACTCATCAATGTGGCAAAGGCATTACTCATTGCACATTCACTAAAAGGATGGGGCAAATGCAAGGGGTGTCCAGGTAGTGGGGCAAAGTGGAACGGGGTGTAAGGCTGACTTCAGGGCTCTCCAGGGGCTGTGAGGAGCCAGCAGGGCTGCAGCATGGAAGGCCAGCAGGGACGCAGGGTGCCGGAGACAAGGTGGGGCTGTGGGAAGGGCACTCTGGGCTGAAGACAAGCAGGTGCATGTTCTAGATGCATGCCCTGTGGCAGGCAGGCCGGCCAGAGGTTGAAAGGGTGAGGCTGGCTCCACGTCTGGCTAAGGCATGGGAGAAAGGACAGGTTTCCGCGACAGCAAAAAGGAAGCAGCTCCAGGCCCAGGGACAGATTGCATATGGAGAGGGAAGAGAGAGTGGCCAGGACAACTCCTTGGTTTTGGGCAATGGAGCTGTTTGGGCAAGGGAGCCAGAAGAGGGATGAATGTGAGCAGAGCAAAGGCTGGAGATGAGAGCAAGAGGGGAGAGAGGGACGTGGGAACTGGCAAAAAAAAAGGCTCAGGAGAGGAGGTGGGGGTCTGGAGTTAGACTAGGAAGGGCGCAGTTTCTCACAAGAAGGCACCGACTGAGCTGCGTTCCTTTGCAGACTGTGAAAGAACGTCCCACAATCCCAAAGCCCCAAATCGAGGGGTCTCTCTGGATGCGCAATTCATCTGTCCCCACGGGGAACAGGCTGAAGGGCAGATTTGAGGGACGGTGGGACAAGCCGAGTTCCTGGCAGAGAGAGGAGCTGCAGCGCATGGAGGATGGATCTTAGCACCACATCTGTTTCCAGAAGGAAACTGAGTTGTGCAAGGAAGACTGACACCTGAAATCCCCTGAGCCCTTGTATTTAAACACCCTCAGAACACTGCGTCCTGCCCCACACTCACGCGAGGCGGCCTCTCTGGTTGCCTGAACTACGGGGGATGGATTGGTGGGCACTCAGTGTCCGCTTGCTTCCAGGGGTCAGCCGTATCAGACGACACCGGTCCCCACGCAGCAGGGCTGAGACGCAGACACACACACACCACATGGTGAGTTTTCAGCTTGCAGAGCCCCTGCTGTGCCTCGCTGTGGAACATCAGAGCCTTTACATTAGGTGGGGGGTTTGTTTTACGTGATCATCCCTTAACTTTCTCTGTAAGAGCAGTTCAAAGTATGGCAGTAAGAGCCAAGTGAAGAAAACACGGATCCATTGTTTATCTCTAAACCGAAGGCAGCTTGTCTTCAGAAGAGGTTTCGACCTGGTACAGGGAAAGGGAGCCAGGTCCAGCCAGGGTGCAGGCAGCGCAGTGGCAGGGCGGGCCGGCCATCGGCAGTGCGGGAACCGGTGGGCGGCGTGGCATGTAAGGAACTCAGTTTCAGAAAGCCAGACCCGCAGGGACGAGCGTGGAGCAGTGGGTGGCCGCGCGTCGGGAACAGGAACGTGCTGTCCACGGGTGAGGGTGCCATTGGGAGAGGAGTAAGTTCTAGGGCCTGATGCCCAGCTTGGTGGCCCTGATACTCACGGACCTCACCACAGACACAATGAGAGCCCCGTGAGGGCACGGGGGCATGAATGAGGTCCTGTGTGGCAATCATTTCACAACGCATACAAGAATCAAATCACGCCGTATGCTGTAAATACAGGTGATTGTTTTCAGTTAGCTTCATAAAGCTGCGGAGAAACAAGTAAGGAATCTGCCAACATCGTCCCCATTTGCTCTGACAGGTTTCTCAGTGGTTTACAAAAAAAGCCTGTGTTTCAACACTCGTTTCACTTGATGATTTTGAGGTCTGGGATTGCTTGTGATTTCTCAATCCCATCTTCTTCCTGCACACTGAGAGCCTGAGAGGCCCTGTGAGGGCAGGGAGAACAGGGAGCCCGGTGGGACCGTGGTCATTGTGAGCAGGGGCACCAGGTGTGCTGGGTGAAGCTGCGCCGTTTCACAGGGGACCTCAAAGATGGCATCCAAGGCTTGGCTTTCAGGACACTCATCAAGAGGTCACCCATGCGCTCAGTTCCCGCAGCTCCCCCAGGGCCCGGCGCAGTCTGATGGGTAATGAGATGAGACTGACTGAGTGGCGTATGGGAGGTTTCTTGAGAGTGGGGCCCTTATTACTCTGTGCACTGGAGGGAGAGCAAAGAACAAAGAATCTGAACGCAGAACAATTCCCTAAGAAGGTGGCACAGAGCACTGAGGACAATACCCTGGATGAGGAGCAGGAGGGATTAGGGAGGAGGGAGAGCAGTAGCCAGGACGGGCCTTCAGGAAGCAAGAATGTCCTGGAGGCTGCAGGTGTGGAAGGAAAAGCAACAGTCTAAGGATGAGGAGACAGGGCCTCAGACCACAGGCCGAGGACACGGGGACCGGAGCTCAGGGGTGAGGGCACAGGGATGGGAGCTCAGGGCTGAGGATGTGGGGACTGGAGCTCAGGGCTAAGGGCACAGGGATGGGAGCTCAGGGCTGAGGACGTGGGGACCGGAGCTCAAGGCTGAGGGCGCGGGGATGGGAGCTCAGGGCTGAGGACGTGGGGACCGGAGCTCAGGGCTGAGGGCGCGGGGATGGGAGCTCAGGGCTGAGGATGTGGGGATGGGAGCTCAGGGCTGAGGAGGTGTTCAGGGCCTCAGAGGGCTCCTCACAGTGTGGGCTTTGCTCATCAGTGGACGGGCAGGAGAGGCTGTGGGTCTCTCCAAGGGGTGCATGGTCCTGCCTGCGACACAGGAAGGTGCTAATGAGTCAGCACGAGGGCAGGGGAATGCCTGCAGAGAAGTGACTGCACAGGGGCAGCAGGGTTGGGCAGAGGCTGACACAGAGGCTGGGTCCAGCGTCAGTGGGGACAGGAGAGTGAGCAGGAGGCACCAGGACTCCTGGCCAAGCACCAGAGAAGGGTCACCACAGAGGACACGCTTGCCCGGGGAGGGAAGGTGGGTAGAGGGCAGCCCAGAGAGGCTGAATCCCATCATCCAGTGGGGCCCGTAGAAATCCAGCAAGAAAGTGCAGATTCAAGTCTGTGATTTGGGAGACAGATCAGGACTGGAGCAGTAAGAAGGTGGAACAAAGTCAAAGCTGGGAGCACAGAGGTGCTACGCAGAGCTGGGGAGCCAAAGAAACAGGGATGAGGCCTCAGGGGACCAGTGTTAGGGTGTCGGGAGGCAGGGAGGTCATAGAGGCTCACACGCAGATACATACGCACACAGATACACATACATGCAGAGGTACACACAGACACACACACAGAGACACAGGGACCCAGAAACAGAGACACACACACACACAGAACCATAGACAGATGCACAGATACACAC